TCACCATAGAAAAAATCCACCATATCTAGATATGGACATTACCAGAAGCTGAAAAGTAGAGTTCAAACAGCAAGAAGTCTATTCCTGCTAGTACACCTTCAAATGTTAGATTTGGTCTAGGCTCTCTCTCTCCACTGGTTCAGTGATACTTGTCAAGAGTGGTAATAAAAAACACTCCATCAATCAGTTCAAAAGCACACAGCAGTACTCACTAGTATGTAGAATGTAGTGAAGATAGGGCTGGAAGTGACCCGGATTTTGGCCCTGGCAGAGGGCAGCTTCCAGAGAAGAAACATAAAGAAAAGCACATTGGGAACCAGGAGCAAAAGATCCCAGTAGCGGACTCTGCAAAAAGTAAATAGAAAAGTTTTGTCCTGCTCTGCACACCAAGAAGGCCAGGGACCGGCCCTGCCCTGCTCACCCAAACACCGAGAAAGCAAGAATCCCACAGTCAGACTGTGACCCCATTTTGTCTCTCACCTGGACTTCCCAATGTCCTCATAAAGCAACAGCAGGCATTTGTGTGGCACCGTGATGTTCGTGCCATTGATTGCCTGCGCTGTCGTTGGAGACAAAGTTGTCACATTATCCAGTGCTGTCACCAGGGCAGTAGAACTTGTGATGTTGTCAGACAAGGAGAATCTCATCATGGACATCATGGACTGGAATATCCTGCCTCCTTGCAAGTTCAGGTCAAACGTGGCACGGGACAACAGCAGCAGAGAAAAGAGAACATTAAGGCAGTTGTGAGTCAGAGCTAAAAAAGTATATCCCTTCCATTAGGCCCCCACACAACTGCTTCCTGCTTGTTGCTGCAAATTATTATAATCAGAAAGACTGCATGACACAACAGAATAACACCTGCCTTCACTCTGCACACAGCCATTAGGGCAGACAGTATAAAATCAGCATCTTGTATCAGAGTAAAATGCACCTTCAAACAGTGATTACTCGAGCCTTGGCAGATTGATAGAATAAATCAAAGCTCAGCAGCAATACATGGCATCATCAGACAAAAACCCTGCTGCATCAGAGCAACAATTATTCTAGATCCCAAGCCCAAGAAGTCAACAAATTAATTCCTACAAAAGTCAAGTTGAAGGTTCATAACTAAAACCTATTGCTGTTACCAAACCTACAGTCAGAGCCCCACATACTTTTATCTACAGGGACTGTATGCACTATATTCAGAAATCAACATCAAGAAAGCCAAAAAAATCAGCATTTTTCTCTCTGCAAGACACCAGAACTATTCTGATTTTAAAATCAGAACAGTAAAGATGTGTAAAGTTGGCACCTTCCTATAACCCTACTAGCATCAGGTTCTCCACCTTCGTCACTCCCCCCCATCCAGGTCACATCGCACTTCTCAGACACCGACCAGCACCTGGATGCACACAAACCCAGGAGTTCACAAACCCAGGCTCAGAAGCTGTCCCTGCCTGATGTGTTTTTCTTCGGGTTGAACTCCCAGGCACCAAAGAACTCTGAACTCAAAATGAATTGTGGGGCTTAGCTTGTTTGCCTGCCCTGTCTTAGCCCTCTCCAGGCACCTGAAAAAGGACAAGAGAGAGCTTCCCATTCTCCTCATTAGGTGTTTCTGAATTGCCTGCCACAGAGAACTTTCTTATCTTTTCTGCCATCTGCCCACCCCCAGGCCCTACACTGCTGTACTATTAGCTGTCCTTACAGAAGATGAACAGAAACTCTGTTCTCCAGAAAGCTCCACATGTTTTGTGCCCAGTGGCTTTGTAAATGTTGTAGCAGTGTAAGTAATAGCTGCAGTTTCTCTGTTGATTCCATGGTCACCTTAGAAGCTTGGATGAATGCTGGTTCACTGCAGAGCAGGATTAGAGGTTGACTAGTAAACTTTCTCCTGATTCAGTGTTGTCAGCTTGTGCAGATCCTCCCCCTTCTTACCCTAAAGTAGCAACTCTCACTGCTAAATGCACTTGACCAGCAGTGTGCTGAAGGTCCCATCACATCCCCCTGCACCCTCCAGGAATGTGGCTGCAGATGACACAAACTGAAACATCTCTACCAACTGCCATCCCAAAAATGCACAAAGCCAGAGACAGCACCGCGTGCTGCAGTCAATCCAGAATTCATCTTAAAAGAAGACATCTCCCCCTGTCTGAATTTAACCCTGGCTGGCATAGCAAAGCCAACAGCCTCAATGCCAGGAGTCAGCAGGTCATTTCCCTGGTAGGTCAGAAAGAACAAGCAGCACAGCCCTGCGCCACCTCTGGAGCTTTCAGAGCTCAGCAGCACCTTCCCCACAAACTGCCCAGGTCTCCAGGGCACAGAGTTTTCTTCAGAGGCTGAGATTTGTCTTAAGTCTTTTGAGGACAGGGGGTACCCATGCCGCTCCTAGCTAACAAACCCTCCCTTTGATTCACCCACATTGCCAGATACTCACTGGGATGAGATTCTCCTGTGCAACTGCCATATGCTGTGCTGCACGAGAGATGTCATTAAATAAACACACAGACCTGGAAAGATCAACTTTGTGCTGAGATGGCAATATCTGTGCCAAATGATCTTAGTTCTAGCGGGGGTTCCAGCAAACCACCTCCACACTGCAGAACTCCCCAGAAGTGTCTTCTCTTCCCTCCACTAACTCACTCCTCTGACACCATTGAGGATCTCCTGTAAATAACTTTGCTTCATTCTTCTCTTCTGAAACACTTTCACTGACCTCTGCATCTCAGTAGCAGCAAAGACAAATACATTCATATTTACCAATGCAGAAGAATTTTTTATTCCTTCCGAAATTTAAAAATGCTGGGAAAGGATAGAGAAAACTCACAGAGCATAGGTAGAATTACATCAGCTGTGAACGATGACACCTCTAACTGCTACTGGGACAAAGAATTTGACTTGGGAAATCCCAGTGAAAAGGGTTTGATTATAAAGCTGCAGACCCACCTGGAAAAATAAACATGTCCTCAGAAAAAGAACAAGGAGACTCCAACCTTTTTCCCTAGGATCCATCGCTATCACACAACAGCAGTGAGCTGCTGATAAGGAGAGGAGTTGGCCACATGCAACAGCCAGCCTCAGTCACAAGGTTTCAAAGGGCAAAGCAGAATTGAGATTACCTCCATGCCAGGCTGCTCACTATGGCCTGGTGTTACTATCCTACAAAGGCAGAGTAGCACAACGCCCAACATACAAGGGCATGAAGGGCAGCCAGAGCCATCAGTCTCACAGCACACGTCATGCTTTTCTCATAGCCAAAGACCACAGAGAAGATGTTGAGAACTGCCCCATTCTGGTTGAGGCCACCAGCAACAAACCCACAGCAATGGCACTGGGAACTGATGCCCGGGAAACAACCTTCATCACACCCAGCACCATTGCTCCCTGCTGCACTTTCCAACCCATGCCCCAGCTCATCTGAACTAACCCAGTTAGCTGAGCATAGCCCTCACTCACCACACCCTGCCCAGAGCCGCCAGCTCAGCCCACACAGAAGAGCTGAAGCCACCCCACAGCCACACATCAGCACCCCACAGCCCAACCCAGCTTTCCTTCTGACAGACAGCCTGAACTGCCATACACTGGAAAACAAAAGGAAATAAGGAGTTTGCTATATTACAGCTGAATTGAGCATGATGTGGCTGAGCAGTGTTTCTCCGTCCAGGCACTGAGACACAGCGCTGGAGGCTCAGCTGCACCTCCTGGCCAGGCAGCTGCCTCTTAGTAAGGGGATTCTGCTTTTTGGTTCAGGACACATAGTGTAACCAATGAAAACTGAGGCTCAGGTTACCAGCAGATATCTGCAGTCTCAAAACTCAACCGCATGGATGTGGGTCACACACACCTACCAGACTTCCAGGTTTAATGAAACTGATTGTTTCCCTTCTTTCTGAAAACAGCATCGGAAAGCACAGACCACATCAGGGCTGGAATTGCTGCCTACAATTCCAGATGCGAGTGGCAGAGAGATGTACTTAACTGATCCCTGCTTAAATGAAAGCATTACTCCAATAGGTTACACAGCTTTCAAGGAGAAAGGGAAACCTTTTTTCTTCGCTCCCCTTTAAAGACAGTTATTCAGATCTCCCACTAGATCAAAGCCATTGCCATTCACATCGCAGTCTCAAACAAACAGGTGGCACGTCTGTCCTGACAGGGCTCAACTCCCTTCTCTCCAACTTTCACTATCGCTTCTGCTTCAGGACAAAACTCTAAAAGAGAGGAACTACAACACTAAAAAAGCACCAAGAGCACCAGTAACCCAAACAGGACAGAACACCAAGCTCGTTCGGGAGAACACTGTATGATAGGCTTCCCGTTCTTCTTCCAGGCAAAGGAAGGAAAGGAGCAGCACGGGGACACCTCACACGAACAAGAACCACCCGCCGTAAGGGCAGCTGAAGGCGGCGGAGCGCTCCAGAGCGCCTCGAGCGACGCAGCCCCGGGCACAGGCCGTGAGCACAGCGCAGCGCCGAGGCCGGAGCCCAGCCGGGACAGCGGGGAGGCAGCCAGGAAAAGGAAGACGGAGCCTAACGCCCCGCGCCGGGCCCCCGATCACCGCGCCGCCTCAGAGAACCGCAGCCAGGCCCGGGCCGCGTCCCCACAGCCCCCCTCCGCCGCCCGACCCGCTCCTACCCGCCGCAAGACGCAGCCCTCCCGGCCCGGCCTTCCTGCAGGCGGCGCTCAGTCGCAGGGACCCACACCCGCCATGCCAGGCCCGGCACCGCCGCTCCTCTCGGCCGGGGATCGCCGCGCAAGAGGGCGGACAGACAGCTGCGTGCGGCAGGAGCAGCAAAGCGCTGCCTTTCCGGCTAAGCCCGGCAGCAGCCGCTCAAACAGGAGCCCCGAAACAGCCCAACCCAGGCGGTCGGGGAGGCGGAAAGAAATCGGGGCGCCGGCCTATGGGAAGCGGCGGGAGGCGGGGCTCGGCGGCGGGCGGCCGCCATTTAAGGGCTCGCGGTGCAGAGCGGCCCTGTGTGTGGTGGGGGGGGGGCAGCGCTGTGCGTGGTGTGTGGCTGCCTACTCGGGGTCGGCCTCGGCCCGCTGCTCCGATGGAGCTGAGGCTTTGTGTTTGTGCCATGCTGTTAGAACAGTGCCTACAGAAGCCGGCCCTCGGCATGTCCCTGCTATGTCTCTTCCCTTTCATCGTTACTCAGGTTAATGACATGTTGTGAAGTTTTAGTGCGGGCTGTTTGCAGGTCTGTACTCTGACAGTCGGCAGGTACAACATCTCTAAGTTACAGCAGGGGCACCTCTGCTCAAGAAGAAGCAGAATGTTCTGGCTAAAATATGTCCAGGAATGGGAGTTGTGTCTTCTTGCCTCTACCCCCAGGCTTTAGCTAATGGCACACGTGGCCTCCTGCATGGCTTTGTCAGGAGGAAAGGTTTTGCTTCCCAGTTCACCTGTTCTTTCCACTTGACTTCTCTGAGGGTGCAGCCCAGCAGATGTAAAAGATGCCTCTCAAACAGAAGAATGCTCTGTGCCATCTCTGCAGCCCTGTGCATAAAGGTGGCAGGGCTTGCTTGGTGGGTCCCTGCTGTGTCACAGGTGGAAGCAAGACAAAGGGTGATACTTAACAGACTTGGTGGAACCCTGAGGGCCCCGGGGAGGGCTGTCCCTTGGTGTTTTCCTTTGTTATCTTTTGGCACCGAAGCCTCACCTGACTGCAGGTGTGGTTTCCAAGATAGTATTATGCTCTCCTGTCACCAAATTCCATTCTTATATGACACCTGTCTCTCTAAAATACTTTTCAGCTTATCAGCCCACTGGGCAGAATATTAGTTCCCATCGTAAACTGTGTGGCTATACAGCTGCAGAGGGACTACAGATGTGCACACATTGTTTCAAAGCCCCTGTGCTAACCTGCTGATGCCTACTGCAAGTCTTAAATTTGCACCACAGAACATGCAATGGTCTGTACTCCAGTGTCTGCCCTCTCTATGAGGAGGGGAGCTCAGTCCCCAGTGCTCCTCCACCACTTTGCGAAATACTGGTGATATGCATTGACAGTCAGGACTTTGGAATCCAGCTGCATTCACCCCTGGGAAGGACACAGGGACACCCTCGCACAGGACACAGGGTAGCTGTCAGGAATTAAATAGGGGAGGCATTATTTTTGGAGTGACCTACCTAAATTTCTAGTAATTCAGTACCCACATGCTGATGATAAGGACTTGCTAACACAAAGTACAAATGATGAGGAAAAGATGCGAGTGGTGCTCCAGAGGAGTCCGGGCTGATGGCAGTGGGGAAGAAGCGCTGATCTGCTTGAGGGCCCTACAGGGGGGTCGGGATGGCTGCATGGATGGGCTGAGCACAACTGGATCAGGCCCAAGAAGACCAAGTGCTGGCTGCTGCTCTTTGGCCACGATAACCCCAGGCAGCACCACAGCGCTGCAGCACCATGCCCAGGTGCCCAAGAAGGCCAAGGGCATCCTGGTTTGTAGCAGAAATGCTGCAGCCAGCAGGAGCAGGGAGGTGATCGTGCCCCTGTAGACAGCACTGGTGAGGCCTCACCTCAAGTGCTGTATTCTGTTCCAGGCCCCTCACTACAAGAAAGACGTGGAGGCCCTGCAGTGGGTCCATGGAAGGGCAATGGGGCAGGAAAAGGTCTGGAACAAAAGTCCCATGAGGAGCGGCAGAGTGAACTGGGATTGTTGAGTCCGGAGGAGGCCGTATAACTCCCTGTAAGGAGGTTGTAGTGAGGTGGGGGTCAGCCTCTTCTCCCACGTAGCAGCGATGGGATGAGAGGGAATGGCCTCAAGTTGAGCCAGGGGAGGTCCCCGATGGATACCAGGAAGAACATCTCTGCTGAAAGAGCGGTCAGGCACTGGCACAACTGCCCAGGAGCTGGGGGAGTCAGTGTCCATGGAGGTGTTCCTGAACCACGGGGATGTGGCACTGAGGGACGTGGGCTGCTGGGCGGTGGGACTTGGTGATCTTAGAGGTCTTTGGCAACCATAGATTCTGTGATTCTGTGAATCGAGTCATTTATTGTAACCAGAGGTAATCAGCAGCGAACAACCAAAAAGTAAAGCCTCGAGAACATCATGGAAACACGTAAAGGCTTGACTGGGATACTGATGGCAGCGTTCAGGTGGGGCCAGAAGGGTGGACATGTCACCCAGTGCCTTCAGCAGCACCAACAAGCCGGGTTCCAGTGGCGCTGCATCGGCACCAGGCCCCTCGCTCTGGGCTGGCTGCAAGAGCCACCACCCTCCTGCTTGGGTGCCCTCAGCCCCTGTGAGGTGTGATGACATCACAGAGGGTGGCACAGAATGGCCATTGAGACACACGGGGTGTGAAGCTGAGCTAAGGCTGTGGGGCTCAGGCCAAGCTCAGTGCAACCTGGTGAGGTGAGCAGAGAGGAAGGGGCTGCCTGAGGCTGCCAAGCGAGGAGTGTTCCCCAGTGCTCGGGGGCCTGAGCTGTGAACTCAGCCTCATCCCGCTTCTCCCATTGGTTGGCACGTGGAGGACAAAGCCCATCAGTGATGGGACAGGGACTCTGCAAGTGGTTTCCGTCAATACGCACAGTGTGCGTGGGGACGCAGGAGGCCACCGGCTCGAGGGAGCCAGGTGAGAGCAAAGTATCCCTGCGCGCAGCTCCCCACCACCAGGCAGAGGGGTGCTGGGGGTCTGCCTGCAGCGGAGAGGGGAGGCGGAAGCACGCAGGGGCTCCCCAGCATCCGCGGGCAGGGTCCCACTGCTCCTTGCCAGGAGGGCCACAGCTGGGCTGCGGCTGGCTGCTGGCACCGCTGGGCCTGCAGTGCCCCTTCCCCTCCACAGCCTCCAGCCCTGCCTCTCAGCTGGCATGGCTGGCACAGAGCAGCCCCTAGGAGAGCCCCCAGGGGCACTTGGCCCCTCAAGGCGCTCACTGCTGTTACTCTCTCTTCTCCAGCATGTGTGCTGTGTGGCCGAGTGGATAATGACTCCAGCATCCTTGGGTGCAAAGAAGAGCACAGTGGATACTATTTCCATATGTATTGTGTGGTGGGTTCCCACGTGACTCCTGACACCTTCCTCCAAATAGTGATTCCCTCCTTTCTGCCCTAACAAGATCACGCTCTTTCCTCTTGTACAGAAAGCTGCCAATGATCTTTGTCAACCAGGATCAGATAGCGACAGTGCAAGATTTTATTTACACGACCTGATAAGCACAGTGAGACAGGCAGAGAAGAAGGTGAGCACTGGACCAGAACAGGGAGCTTTGTGCCAGGACAGGCACTGCTTGCTTAGCCTGGTCAAAAGAAAGCAATCCCAGCTCTTCCAACCAGATCCAGGAGAAATTCCTGCTCTTGCCAGATGAGCCCTGTTCACTGGGCTGCTCTGCAGAGTGCCACCCAGCCCTGCCTGCACCCTGTGCCCTCTCCAGAGGTGCGGGGCCTGCTGTGTAGGCCCTGAGCCTGCTGCTGATGGGGGCTGCTCTGCTCTTTCCAGCTCTGCTTCATTTGTGGCAAGAGGGGGGCCTTCATCACCTGCGCGGAGCCAGACTGTAACCGCAGCTTCCATCTCCCCTGTGCCTCAGAGGGTGAATATATCACCCAGTACTTTGGAGAGTTCAGGTAAGGGCTGCCAGGTGTTGCCTGTGAGCCCCCAACCCCTCCTGTCAGCAGCAGCCAAAGAAGCTAGGAACACACGAGGCATTGTGACCTCCCAGCAGCCTGACACAGCCAGAGCCAAGGCCTGGGGCTCGTTCCTGTTCCTCTGCCCCCCTCTCAGCACTTCCCACCTTGCCCATCCCTCCCATCTTCCCCCCAGGTCCTTCTGCTGTGAGCACTGCCCGCAGCAGGCAGTGGAGGCAGTGCCGGAGCAGGACACGACCTGCATCATCTGCATGGACCCCGTAGGTGACAGCAAGTCGTACAGCACCATGGTGTGCCCGTCTTGCCAACACGCCTGGTTCCACCGGGCGTGCATCCAGGTAGGAGCTCTCCCCTCGCCCTGTGGGAATGGTCAGCGCTCAGCAGCACCAGGCCCGGCTCACACTCACGTTGCTTGTGTTTCTGCTGCAGGAGCAGGCCCTGTGCGCAGGGATTGACTGCTTCCAGTGCTCCCTCTGCAGAGACAGGGACTATTTTATTGCAGACATGCTCACCATGGGGATCCGAATCCCACTCAGGTTGGTGTCTTTCAGCCAGCTCTTGAGATGTGATGGCACAAGAGCTGTCCTTGGCAAGGGACTGCACTGGCAGGCCTGGCCCTGTACAGCCTTTAACACGGGCCTCAGCATCATTGGGAAGCTGGAACTGGGCATAGAGTGGAGCGGGGGGGATGCCATGGATTAGTTTTAGTCCTGGGGCAGTGAGTGATCATCGCATTCCCTCTCTCCTCTGGCAGAAGACCAACATGGGAGGACAATGATGCCTTTGCATCCCTGGGAGTTAGGCACCAGCACTGTGATGCCACTGACTGCCTTAATCCACACGGCAGAGATTGGGAAGAGGAAGAAGGGTGAGTTACCTCAGCAGCCTTCTGGGGCTCTGCGTGGGATCCCAGCTTCACCACAGGCTGGGGGAGCACAGACTGAGCACCAGAGCTGTGCTGGGCACTCCCTGGCTCAGATCACTTTGTCCTCACGGCCACAACCCATTCGTTTCCCCAGGCCCTGGGAGCTGCTCCTCTGCAGCTCCTGTGCTGCACAAGGGACTCATCGGCGCTGTTCCTACCTGAGTCACAGCACAGCCGAGTGGGAGTGCAACACCTGTGCTGGAGAGGGCATCGGTAAGAGGCAAAAGTCCCTCTGGCTCATGAGGGATAGAAGCCTGTAACACCCCAGTGCTACAGGTCAATCCTGCTCACCATCCTGCCTCCCCTTGCAGACTCCAACACAAATTTGGACAGTGCTGGACTCAGCACCATCACCCAACAGGAACCAGGGCCATCCCAAGGTTCCAGCACCACCAGCCAGGCACCATCAGGGTCAGCTGACTGTTCCCATGTGCCTGCGAGCAGCGGCCGGTCCAGCCAGCACAGGATGGGCCGGAGAAGAGTCCGCCCGCATTTATGCCGGGAGGAGAACACCTACAGTCAGCCCCGAGGACGCCGTGGGAGCTGCCGTAATGCTGCCCCGATTGCTGGGAGCAGCTCCCTAAACTCTGCCAGCTGTAGGACATCAGAGTCCTCGAGGCACTCCCCAGAACTTGGCTACAACCGCTGGTGCAGACAGGGACAGCGGGCCCGGACACAAAGCCGCTCTCCGTTGCAGCGCCGGGCCCAAGGTTCTCCAAGCCAGCCCCAAACACGCCGTGGGAGCAGACAGGCACCAACACCAAGTGCTGAGAGCTGCACCCACAGCTACACCACACCGAGAGCACCGCGGTCCTCAGGGGATTCCACAGCGGCTGATGGAAGCCGGTCCCGGCAGCCAAGGCGGGCGCGGACTCGAAGCCACTCCCCTCTTGAACATCGGGCTGCAGAGATCCACAGCCAGCCCCGAAATCGCCGCAGGAGCCAATCCAGGCGGCGAGGGCCACCCCAGGGGAGAAACTGCTCCCGGGTACCACGTCGGGCCCAGCACATCCACAGCCGGCCCTAATGATGCAACGGAAACAGTTGTGTAAAAGCTCCATTTGCTGTCATCAGATCCATAAACATCCACAATAAAACTTAGAGTTCCATCATGCCACTGTCGGTTTCATTCTTCTCTGCCTTTCCAAAGGTGGGCAGCTTTAGGGGCTGCAACCACAGGGATCTCTTCCCCCCAGCAGCCAACCCATTCCTTCCTCCCCACGGCCCTGTTCAGGCTGAGCTGGGTTCTGGCTCCGACACCAGCAGGGTGCAATGTTTCCAATGCACAACGTGGTGGATGTCAGGCTGGCAGCTGCAGCCCCTTCTGGGGTTGTTTTTGTTAACTTGGGGATGTCGCTGTGCTTAGGACACGTGGGCAGCCCCAGAGCTGCTGCTGGCTGTGGAGTGGGCCAGCATTCAGGCAGTGCCTCAGGTCTGCTGCCACTGCTTGTAAACAGGACATCCACCCTATATTTCTTGGTCCAGTTGTCGAGAGAAATAGCCCGCTGGTCTCTTCCTGGTATTTGACATACAGCCCCCTTGAGCTCACCCATTATTAGGCTTTGGTATCCCCAAGGGATTGTAAAACCAACATAAATAACAAACTGACAAGCTATTGGTGCTTTCTTCTTTGATACTCTGCATCCCACAGAGCTCGGAAAATTCAGGAGACTTGTTGTCACTTGTGTTATTTCCTCCCTTGACTCAGCACCTATAAGAAGTTCATCTGCACACTGGCGCAGTGTAGCTTCCAGCCGTTTGTGCTGCCATCCCTCCAGTTCCTTAGCAAGCTGGTTCCCAATTATGACGGGGCTATTTTTAAAGTCCTGGCAGAGCACAGTCCAACACCACGGTGTTTTCCTTCTAGTTTTGGGGTTTTTGTCCTCCAACACAAAGGAGGGTATGTGGGCTTTCCATAAGGGGATGTACTTCCATCACAATTGAACTCACAGCCCTTTGATCCTGAACCAACTGACATTCTGTGGAGTGAGGCTTTCTGGCTGGCAGAAGTGCAGTACAGCAGTGTGAACAGCATTCCCATAACAGTCTGTGAGTCACAACCTTCCAGTCAGAGGCTGAGTTCCTCTCCTACCTTCCATTTTTAGGAGGTAGTGCTTTTGTCTTGCGGGCTTAGCTTCTAGCTTTAGGGATATCCATACTGTTTCAGCTGCTTTGGCTCATTCTGGGATTTCAGTAGCCTCCCCCAATAGATTTACAACAGACAGTACTTCACAGGGCTCTATGGTTTTATTTTATTAGCAGTTATTTGCGCACTAAATTTGTTCAGTAAGTCTCTTGCAACTCAAGGTATCGGACGCTGAAGGATATACAAGAAATCCCAGGTAAACACCTGGTTTCCAATCCTCTTCTCAGCCACCTTTATCCAAACGGAAAGTAAGGCCGCATGTTTTTGGCTGTTGAGAAGCCTGCGTTTAGCCAGCGTATCAAACCGCCCTTCTTTGCTGCAGCAGAGGTCAGCCCTGTGCCCCTTGCTCCAGTTTCAGCACAGGTATGGCTAACATCACACCAGTTTGGTTTGTTGGTGGGCGCTGAGTGCACACCTGGGGCCCGGCTGCTCTATGGGAAGAGAGGGTGAATGCATCAGCCAGAACATCTAGTTATTCATGGTGTCTATGCTGTTCTTCTGGTCACAGGCTTGTAGCAATACGTGATATTAAGGACTTATGGGTAGTGCCCCTTCAAGTAGTTGCCACAGTGACTGAAATAGATACATGCTTCTGTGCCCAGTGTTACAAAGGCTGCTCTGAAAGCGTTTCCTCCTGTATGATGATACTGGCCCACGGCATCAGAGGGGCATGTTGTGGGATGGCACTAGAGGTTGAACCTTCCTGCCAGCAGTGAGCACAGTGAGGCACTGGGTCGTGCAGTTCAGCAGTGGTGACAGTGACAGTTCAGCAGTGACTCCTGCTGCTGCAGGATTTTACGACGGCGTGAAGACTGTCCACCACTGCTGATGGAAAACACACAGCTAATTGTTGCAACTACGTTGAAAAATAGCATTTTGAAGTGGAGAATTTGATCTGTTAAACAGTCTCATGACACTATTTGTGTCTGTAGCAGTTTCCAAGTATCAGCTGAGCCTCTGAGTCCCGACCCGCACCCTTCATGTCAGTGGGCCTAGCAGAAGGAACCCTGTCCTTGCAGCTGCCTCAATTTACTGATAGGTTTAGCTGCCCAACGCAGTTCTCCGAGAAGCTGAGCGCCCAACTCAAGCCGCTCTTGCCCGATCTCGCCACGCTGCCCGCGGCCGAGCACGGGTTTGGTCGAGCAGGAGGAAATTTGGTCATGCATATTCACGAGGTGGGCGGGGCAAGCGGCAGATATATTCATTATTCATGAGGTTTCGCGCGCTTTTGCTGCCCACGTGGTGCATTTTCGCGCGGAATCCGGCGGGGTAGGAAGCAGCGATGGCGGTGAGCGGCGGAACGGGGCTTGGGGAGAAAGGGCGGGCGGGCGGGCTCGGGACGCAAAGCTCGATTCCTCCCTGTCCCGGGAGGCGTTTGTTGATTTTTTTCTTTGTATTTATTTATTCATTCCGGGGGGCGCGGGGGTTGCCGGTTGTCTTGAGAAGTCTCCCGGTGGCCCTGTATCGGAGAAGGGAGCTTTGGGGCGGGTCAGAGATCTTCTCCTTTGTTCCGGGCTCAGCGGACCTGGTTCTCAGGTCTTTCCGTTGCAGTCTGTGGGGAACATTCACGATTTTAATTTTTCCGCTTTCGGGAAGCAGGACTCATTGCTGAGCAGCATTTCCCTTCGGCCCTCCGGATTCACCAAGCCCCCTTGGCCCGGTGGCGGGGAGGAGCAGCCCCGCTCCCCAGCCGCCCTCACCCGCCCTCCCCTCCTTGCAGGACTCCTCCGAATCGCAGGCGGCGGTCACCAGCCCCGTGCGCAGCTCCCGCCGCGGCGATGCGTTCACGTCCAGCCCTGGCAGGGACCTGCCTCCCTTCGAGGATGAGTCCGAAGGGCTCCTGGGCACCGAAGGGCTCCCCGAAGAGGAAGAAGAAGGAGAAGAGCTCATCGGGGAGGGGATGGAGAGGTAAGGAGGCCGTTGAGAGCTAGCGTCTGGGGAGTTGGGTTTGTAGGTGGGGTTTTGTTATGGGGATTCTCAGTGCGGACCAGCAGTGGGTGCTGGTAGCCTAATGAAGGGTCTGAAGTGCTGCTGGGTGGTAAGGAAAGAAGAGCCAGGGCGTGATGATGTAAAGTTCTGGAAGCACAGAACACATTGCAAACCAGGAGCAAAGTGCTGTTGTGATCTAGGGACAATAAACCTGGATCTTGAGGTATAGGATGCGCATCGAGCCCAGCTCCTTGCTCTTGCAACCATAAATGTTAATGCTTTGCTACTCAGCCAGACCTGCCAACTAGCCAGAGAACTGTACAATACAGAGACTTCAGTGCTGGCATTTGTAATCCTGGTGTTGGAGCCTTTCATACTGCAGGGCATCTCCCCTTGCTCCTTCCTGTCCCGTGGGCTCCGTCTGACGCAGATCATCTGTCCTGACTCACTGATAGCCAAGGGAAGCTGGATAAATGCTTCTGGAGTTTGTTTCAATGCTGTGTGTGTGCCCTAGGGACTACCGGCCCATTCCAGAGCTGGATGTCTACGAGGCAGAGGGCCTGGCCTTGGATGATGAAGATGTGGAGGAGCTGACTGCCAGCCAGCGGGAAGCTGCAGAGAGAGTGATGAGGCAGCGGGACCGTGAGCTGGAGCAGGGCATGGGCCGCATGAGGAGGGGGCTGCTCTATGGTAGGTGGAGATGACAGAGGCTTCTGTGGGCTGGGTGGGAGGGCCTTTGATGCACTTAGAAGTATGTTGTTTGGACTTGCTTCCTTGGTATGTTAATGGACAGGTTTGAGTGCTGTTGATTACAAATCTTCCCCTTTAAAGACTTCAGCTATAGTGGAAGATGCAGAAATTAGGTGGAGCTGAACTGGAGTTTGGCTGGGCCTGGGGTAGTTTTTGGTTTGTAAGTGCCAGCCTCTTTGCTTCCTCAGCCCATTGCAGTTCATCCATGACCATTCCAAAGAGGGAGAATGGGAAACTCAACTCTGACCGATTTGTCTTGCCAACCCATAGACAGCGATGATGAAGATGAAGACCGTCCTTCGCGGAAGAGGCGGCTGGCAGAACGGGCTGCTGATGGCATAGAGGAGGAGGATGAAGACATGATCGAGAGCATCGAAAATCTGGAAGACATGAAAGGGCATTCAGTGAGGGAGTGGGTTTCCATGGCGGCTCCCCGGCTTGAGATCTACCACCGCTTCAAGAACTTCTTGAAGACCCATGTGGATGACCATGGGCACAACGTCTTCAAGGAGAGGATCAGCGACATGTGCAAAGGTACAGCTGGGTGATAACCCTCTTTATGTGGACTGTGGTACTTTGCAGTGATTCAGCCAACAGGTGGATTTTTTTTCTGCCTGTCCTGTTTGTCCCAGACACCAAGTCAGCACTTCGAGAAACTGATGCTAGCGGAGATAAATGAACAGTGGAAACATCATGACTGCCTTCTTTGATTCTGTCTGACTAATTAGAAGGCCCCTCGCGTCTACTCATTAATATTCATATCCTAGAAATGCTGGCAAAAAGTAGCAGCAGACAGTGGGCTGCGTGCTTGTGGTCTGAAAGAGACAACAATTACTTGCTGTCTGTGACAGTTTCTCACACTGAAAACTGGGTTGTCCAGTGAGGGGCCACAAATATACAGCGTGACTTTGAGGATCATGTCTGTGTTGCAGCACTGTGTTTGACTACTCACTGACAGAAGCAGTCACTGACAGAAACCATCAGTGAAAATTTTTAAAAGCTGGAATTGTTACATCTAAGAACAACTTCTGTAACTGCAGTTGTTCATATTTCTTACTTATGCTGAGTCAGAAGATTGAGTACTGGATCCTGGTTGGTGTTACACAGTTAAAAAATAAAGGCGTTTTTCTTCCTACTCCTCAGGAACAGCAGAGGCAGAATATTTTTGCCAGCCATTCAGTGCTATTAACTTCTGTTTCCTGGAGTCTGTATGAGAGTAGTTTGTTGGGCTGAGGCTTTCAAGTCTCAGGAACA